AAGGTGATGTCCAAGACCTTCAAGATGTTCAAGAGCTAGACATCTCCGAAACTCCAGGTGGGAGGATTTACTGTAAGCCTTTGTGGTCAAGTCTTGCCAGGGTGTCACCAGACACAGTTTGTCACATGTCAATTTGGTTGGGTACTTATATTTTTAGCTGTTTTTGGCTAAACTTTTTAGCCAAAAAAAGAGGTTGGGTCCATGGTCGTTTAGCCATGGGTCCCTGTGTGCAACACATGGGGTTGGGTCCAAAACTTTCTGGCTAAATTGCTCCTGGTAGTTCATCGTACCTTGGGTCCCACTTCATTTAGCCAGAGGTTGAGGGACCCAAGGGGATAGTGTGTAGTGAGCCGGGGATCCTATGGACCACCTACGAACCAGCAAGTGGAGTACCATTTGAACGTCCATTCACCCACATACAACAAGACAGTCATCCAAACACAAGACCACTTTGGAATGACTCCTGAACAGTGGATGGAACCGCCAGTGAACGCACCAGTGCGAAGGCAGCACCGCTCTCGCACACCAGGTGGCCGTCGACCACGTGACAGGTCAATCGGTCCACCAACACCAGCAGCACCTGAGCTTGAAGATGCACCAGGCCCAGGACCATACACACCGAGGCAGGCAGTACCTTATGCACTACCTCTTCCAGAACAGACTGGCAAACAGTCAGCACAAACTCCAAGTCAGCAGCCTGGGACGACCGAGGTCATTGACGTGGATAAACTGCCAGACAGCGCACCATCACAACCGCATATGCCCAATTTCGAGAACATAGCTCCAACAACACCGCGCCAGACCTTGCGCAGGAAACACCCTCTAAGAGGACCAGTTCCGAGATGGAACAACCAATTCCAGCACAACCAACATCCAAGGCACTCGTGCTCAAGCGCGCACGGCAGCAGCGGTTGACACCTAGCACGGCTATCACCGCATGGCCACATCCAGAGCACCGGCAGACCAAACCCTCCGAGTTTGGGCACGTCGTGACGTGTCATCGCAGACACTGCAGACCACGCATCTCAACGGCCCTCCAAAGAGATGCATCCAGCACCGCCGAGCACTCGCCCTTCCAAGTGGCGAAGTGCTTTGGGACGCACCCTTTTCGGATGCCCAAGATGGGCTCCCCATTTCTCCAGTGCGCACCGACATGGTGACAGAGCTCTGGTATGAACCAGAGACACAATGGCCACATCAAAGCAACCTGGTGATCACGCCAGACGGCATTGCACAGCAACAAGACCACAGACGGCATCAAAGAAAAGAAGGAACATTTCGTTCACCTCTGTACCAGATAGTTGGTCACATCTACGGCTTGGCAAGTGCACCCAAGACATGGACCAACCATGTCACCAAGACACTCCTCAGTGCAGGCTTTCGCCAACACAGCCTGGACAAGATGCTTTTTGTCCTTTACGCCAAGCTCACGAGTGCAGAGCATGAAACGTTGGTTGCAGCATTGATTGCATATGTTGATGATTTTTTGTTGGTTCACAATGAACGTTGGGACCGCAATGCATTGACAAGCTTGTTTGAGTGGGGCAGCAAAGAAGTGCCCGCCTTGGACAACAGCATCGTCTTCAAGGGCAAAGAGCTGTCACTCCGCCAGCATGGCAACCAGACCTACCTGGCGTTGACTCAAAAGGCCTTCATAGAGGGCATGAAGGTTGGCAGCGTGCAGTGCAAGAAGAGGCTCACGGAGAATCCTCCCAGAGGACCTGCCAGAACTGCGATCCGTCGCAGGATGCTTGCAGTGGTTATCGGGTCAAACCCGACCTGACGTTTCAGCAGTGGTGTCATTGAGCAGTCGCGGCTCCAAGGCCACGTACCAGAACTTGCACGACGTGTACCTCGCAGTGGGGCACCGCCATGTAACAAAGGAGCAAGGTGTTTGCATTTGGCCGGTGGCCATCAATCTGCAGACCATGGTGGCCAACTACAGCGACAGCAGCTGGGCAAACGCGGTTGGAAGTGCTTCACAGCACGGCAATTTGTTGTTACCAAAGCTGTTGATACGATCAGCGCGGGCATGTTGCTGGATTGGAAGAGCTCAAGGTTGGCCAGGATCTGCAGATCCACGTTGGGCGCTGAGGCTAGCGCCTGTGACACTGGCATCGACAGAGCTTCTTTCCTCGCCTACCTCCTGACAGAGATCCTCATGAATGAAGCAAGCTTCAAGTTGAGCAGAACCCTCAAGATCATCTCGATCACAGACTGCCGTTCGCTGTATGATGTTCTTTGCAGCGAGAACCCTCGCACAGAAGACAAACGTACGATCGTTGTCATCCGAGGGATTCAGCAGCACGTCTCACGAGAACAAGTGTTTTGGGTTCCGACCCACCTTCAATGGTCGGACTGCCTCACAAAAGTGAGCGAGAAGCTCCTTGAAGGCTTCATGTCTTGGCTGAAGAAGCCTTGGATCCAGCTGAGGGGTGTCGGCAAGTCACATTCGTCTCAACAGAGTTTTTCGAGTGTGAATTTTAGCCTAAAGAGTCATGACAGCAGATGAGACGAATGCGGGTGGCCGGTCCCCCTCGAGGTGCGCACAGAGCCAGAACCTTTCGTTTGCGAACGAAACAAGCGTTGTCGCTTTCGCTTTTTGTTCCCCGGTTTGTCATAGCACACAATCCGGTCAGAGATTCAACACTTGGCCTTCGTGCGCTTGAGAAGTCCTTCTTTGACTTGTTCAACGGGTAGATTCCGACAGGTGATCACGTTTGCAATGCTCCGACAGGATCCCAAGACTCATGTCTACATGTGCGGCCTTAAGGGCATGGAGAGCGGCTTTGCTGAGTGCTTTCAGGCACCGGAAGCACCGGAGGTGTGTTTTTACATTATTTTTTGGTCCCGCAATGCCGCAACCTGTGAACAAGTAGCTAGCGTTCGTTGTGGAATGTTGCCATGTGGCCCCTGTTCTGGAGCGTGTCAAATGTCAAGGGTTTAAGAGGGTGTAGAAGAGTGTGGTCTACCACGGAAGGGAGGCAGTTGAGGGCTTAATACCTTGTCAGGAGCGAGTGGAGGCCGAGGGCATGGTTTATGCTGAGTTCTTGAAGAAAATGAAGAAGGACAAGCGTGGCCCGGCTATGATTTTTTTGGTCGAGGAGTTTGCCTTCCGCATCAGAGATGTGAGGCTACGGGAACAATAGACTACTCCAAACTCTTGCGATTCCTTCATCGAACACTTGTAGCACACAGCATGAATCTTTTCTATCTTGGAATTCTTTGAGGATGTCTCAAGTACATCAGGCATGAGCTGAGGTTCATCATCGTTCACCCCTCCAGCATTCCCAAGGGGTCACTTCTCCCAATCCCAAGCTGACGATGTGGGCACTGCTGCAGTCAGGTTATCACGTAGAAGTCTACTGAGCGGGCAGGTTTTAGACTTGAGGTTCGGATTCCGGCTGGCTGTGCCAGTTAGTGGCAGCTTGTCGGCGCCAAGCTAATTGAACACAGAGCAGATGATACCTGCCCCTGTAATATGACATCATCATCATCACACCAACCAACATCGGTTGTTTGTGTTTTCATATAGCGCCAACATGCAAGTCTCCAACTCGAACATGTTTGGCGACATCGCAGTGTCGCCATTTTCAGTTTGCCTCGAGGCAGCCCAAACAAATATTTGGGTGTAAAGCACTGCAGTTCAATTTTTCAACTGACTTGGGTCAGTGGCGACCGCTTTGGCTTCAGGAGCCATCTGCACTCCAAAGGAGCCAGACTCATCGTTCTTTAAACGTGCAGTGCAGCGCAATCGGATTTGGATCACCAACGTGTTTGCTTAATCTATCTCTTATAAATTCTTTGGAATGTACGGACCCAGAGCAAGGCACTGGTCCGGGAGCTTAGGCTTAGTAAACATATTGATCATGTGAGCAACTACGGAACACTACCGATGGTTCAATGTTTCTTTCAACTTGTGCCAACCGCAGCGTTTTCCACAAGACAAGCCACCGGCGGGCCGGGATTGTTCTACCTTGCAACTATGGCTCTGGAGACTCGGATTCCTTTTGTATTTACGTTGTTGCATGTGCCCACTTCCTGCCTGATATGTATAACTGTTTGGCGTGTTTGGCGTTTGTAGGCATCGTGAGGTACACAAGTGCCCGAGCCCCTTTCCTGTTTGGAGGGCAGGCAAGCTGAGTAGCTTTAATGAAGCCATTGCTGGTGTGCCACTTCAACTATATTTTGTCGAGCCAACCAGCCTTAGCAATGCGTATATAGGACTGTATAGGGTCAGTGCCAACCAGCCCTTGCAACCGCTCCATCATGAGTTTTGTTGTGTTGTTTTTAGCCCAGCTGACTACCCCAAAATATTTCAAGGATCATCAAAGCCTCTTTCTGGGAAGGTTGTGATATCAGTAAAGGCTGCGGATTTCTGGCTTAAAGATGCTGAAAGCCTGGGAACCTGAAACCTGGGAAAACCATTCATTCTAAGCCCGTGCATTGCGACCAAACTGAGGACCTGCCTGTGACTCGCCCGTTGCACTTGGAGGCCACACGGCCTGTGCAGGCAATTTCGGGCAATCATACGCATGTTGCGTTTTTGTTGTGTCCCCTTGCAGGGTAGCTTGTGGGAAGTCAATGCATTCTACCTTTGGCTGGTGTTTTGCAGCTTCCAAGTTTTTGATGTTGGAATTTCCATACATGATCACAGGCCCTCACCTGGTTGTTGCCAGATCTCCACTTTGGCGTTGGGATTCGATAACAGTGTCCCAAACGGCTGATTTGTAAGGCAGAGGTAGAACATTGACGAACAATGATGGCTAAGATCGTCCAGACATTGTCCAGACTCCGGACCTTGTTGAAAGATTGGCAGCTTGACACTCATTTCAAAGTATCTATGCTGGTATCTTGTTGGAAACTTGAAGTACTTTGTGCAAATACCAGGGGGCAAGTGCCACACATGTATGTATATCACAAAGATTGGCAACCGCTTGTTCCATACCTCACCAAGTCAATCAATATGCTTCAATGGCATACCATGTTTTTTTGGTCATGACGTGTTATAATTCATATATGATTATTAACATGCACATGGGCACACTATATAAACCATCGAAGTGCAAACTGCAAAACAGCTTGCACAAAGCGCAGCAAGGGCTTTGTCGTGAAACAGCTATGATTCTTGACCATTCGCCTCTCCTAGTTTGCCCATCATACAGCTTCACGATCCCTATATAGTTTAATGATGTTTAATGAATCTGTTAGGGTTTTATTCTCCAAACAGTGTGGGCACACTGAGGGGTTCTTACGGTAGTAGAAAAGCAGCTGGTGCTTAGATCGCTGTTCCGCGCGGGCATGTCCGGCTAATTCGCTGCTATTTACAGTACATTCATGACTCTCGACATGGTCCATGTGCACTTCGACTGCGCAGGCTCGCTGAATCTGGGTGTTTGCGGCGGGTGCTTCTAACGACTGCGCTCTCGTTGTGGCGCCGCGCGCATTTTCGCACATGGTGGTCACTTTTCGTGGCAGGCGCAGGGGAAACCTCGTGTTTTGAATGGTGCTCCAAAGTCGACTTTTCGTGACAGGTGCAAGGGATCGGAGCTGTTTTACTTCGAAATGCAGTTTTCGTGCATGTGTAGCACCTGCAGGTACCAAACTGGGGGTTGGGTGTATGTTTTACGCCCGGGGTGTATTGTCCAACCATGATACGCCCCAGGGTGTATCTCCACGTCAAGATACGCCCCAGGGTGTATTGTTCCACGACGCTTTGCCCCGCCTCCCTTTCTTCCCGATCACGCTGACTGCGGTGAATATTTTCCTTTGGTTTGGGACGTGCGCCCCGGGCTGATGCCGGTGATGCCGGCCGGGTTGGCGATGAAATCCGGGGGTAAATTTACCACCCGCTTTTGGCGCGGAACGAACAGGAAAATTGCCAGGTTGCGGGCTGGTTTGTGGGTTGCGCGTTTAAAATCTTGCGACCCGCAAACTTAGCACTCGTGCGCGGACATGTCAAAGCAACTTCGGGGAAAATATGTGGTGATTTGCGAGGTGGTGAGTTGTGGAAAAACCAAGCAAGTGTCAAACGTCTTTTTAACTTGTTTTGGAATATACTCGCGCCGCATGTCAAACAATTATATAGTTAGATTAGATAGATGTCAGCTGTGTGGCTGTGTGTGAGGGTTTGTATACTTTGTTAGTTATAAGCGCGTGCATGCAATTGGGTTTTGCATGCCATGGTTGACACATGTTGCACCATGAAGTTTCACACTGACGCTTTCATGTAAAAGATTCCCCCCTGTGGGGCTTCGGCCTTCATTGATAAGATCATATGTTGTCCACTTTAGTTCACATACAAATACATGTGCGTGGGTGGTTTCAAACACTGGCAAGTGCAAGTGTCTTTCTTCAAGTTTTGGCTTCAGTGCACGGGTTTGGCGAAGCCATTAATTTCCCGTGGAGGCCTCGTGTGTCAGAAGCTCAGCTTCCGAGTGGATTTCCTAAAAATTTGGACATCTGCAGGATGGCCCGGTGAAGCTTCATGGGCTCCATGGAGCTGGTGATATATGAGGCTGAACTGGCTGGTTTATTTTTTTAAGCAACAGCCGCTGCAAGCAATAGGTTAGTTGCGCAAGAGAGTTTAGATCACCATTCCCAATTTTGGAATCACTACGCAGCCATTGCAGCATGATTCCCAAAATTGTGCCTCCACGGCCGCGTGGGCCACGTCCTGACCCATGGATTAAGATCAATGAGCCCCCGCCACCTGTGCAAGCTTCTTTCCTGCGTTTCAGCTTTGGTATAGAAGATTAGGAATTGGCCTATAATGTTCATTGTGAATTGAATGAAGCGTTGCCCGAGGCTAGGTCGAGTTCTTCTGCTGTCCAGAGCAACTCCGATACAAACATGGTCCAGCAGGCCGGGCGTGCACACGAAGCGAAGGAAAGTGCTGTTATGTCGGAAACTGTAACCCTTGTGTAAGAGCCTTGCGCGCGCACCGGCGGAAATGATGGCGGCCATGGCCATGTCGCTTCATGCTGAAGCATGGACTGCCCAGCGCCAAGCACAGAATTATGCAAAGGCAGCCAAGAGAACTTTGAAAATGATTCAGGGAGTGGAGGAAGCCCGGAGAGCCAATATCGAAGAAGTTTTTGGCCATTCCAATCAAGCCACTGCCCGCTCGATCTTGAGCCGCAAAATCCCGTGGTGTTGTTGCGGGGACCCCGACTACAGGTGCAGAAGAGGCCACGACCATCCATCCAGGGGGCTCAACCGTTCTAGAAGAGGCCACGACCATCATGCCTGATGAGTCCAACTACGCGGCGACAGAAGTGCCTGCTTCATTGGCTCCGACTTCTCCTGCTGATGCATATTGTCCAGATGTTATGGACGATGAGGATGATGTGGCTGAGCCATACTTGAAAAAGTTACGGAAGGAGTAGGCCTCATGAATTGAGCCGCGCAGGAAAAACACTTCGCTGGAGGGAAACATTGGAAAAAGGGTTTTCGGTTTCCCACCCGCTTTTCAACATTCCAATTAGGTTTTGTGAGCTCGATCCATGACAGGTCCGACGAGCACTTTCAAATCAGATCGGCTTCTCAGGCCTGAGTCGTTGGTTTCCATGTGCGTGTCAACATCTGTGAACTGTGCGCGATATGGTCTAGGGTTTGCTTGGCCAATGCTCCTTGTGTGCGCACAGACTTTGCAGGATGAAGCGGCGGCGCATTTTATTGGCAGGACTGTGTGGGAGTCAGTTGTAGCTGCGCTCAATTTGCTGAGTGTGACTTCTTTAAGTATGCGCAGCGGTTACAGTTGTGAATGCCTCGCAGCGCTGATTCCAGCCATTTCGCATATGGGGAAGCCAAAGGGGATTGTTGAGGTCGTTTTAGACGAAGAGCAGGTCGCAACGCGAAAATGAAAGAGTTGATGCCTGACACAGTGAAAGGTGCCATGCATGCAGCTCCATTGAAACTGTTCAATCAGTATGCCACTTCCAGCAACTTGTAAAATACAGCTACTGTTATATATATATATATATTCGCAGTTCGGTCTATTTTCCGCGCAACTGCGTCTAATGAAACCAAACTGCTGCATTCTGAGGTAAGAACCTTTCCAAAGAGGCCATTGAAGACCACTCGTGGGCACTCAAACCTATTGCGTTGATATCTCCTTCACAACCAGTGCATAACAACAGTCTCTTTGCGGTCTTCAAGAACCTGTTGGATGACCAACCCGATGGTTCACTCTGGTTAATCGTCTACGACTTCAAAACTTTGTTGCAGCAACTGGGCGGTTTGCGAGATATTTATACAAATCTAATTACAAACTTTTGAAACTCAAGATTGAGATTGCAACAGGGCTCATTTTTGAAAAGCTGAAAGGGGTGTCTAATGCTTTGAGGTACTCTCGCAAGGCTTGGAGGAAAGCGCACGCTACCTTGAGATCCAGTGATCAGTGGCCGCTTTGGGTGAAAATGAACGCAGTCACGCTAGATTTGTTTGTCACCATGCAACCCTTTGCCGACGATGATGTGGGCAAGGCTTGGGGCATCGACCCTCAACTGAATTCTTGACAGTGCCATTCTTTTGATTTGTCTTTTACTGTTAGGAAACTTGCTCATGCTTTCACAACGCTCAGGATTCACAGAGCCAAGATCCCGAGATGCATGAGTCTCAGGAGAAGGACTGTGAGTTGTGTGATTTGGGAACCTGGACCCCAAAACCGCTGCCAACCTGCGAAAATGTTAGAGGAAACATGCTTTGCAGGAGAAACCTGCAGAGGAGAAAC